TTTCAACCTCAGCAGTGAAAATTGAGGCAATTATTGTACAAATTACTCCCAAATAATAAGGCATAAAAATTAGCATGCCCTACACATTGCCCTGATAACAGAGGATGTTATAATTTACATTCAACCCCATTTTAGGAAACACAAACATTTGCCAATGAGTCAGCTAATTAATAAGCATCCAGAATTCAGTGCACAGAATCAGAATTTGTAGCAATCCATTTATCCCAGTTATATCTAATCCTTGCTAAATTTAAAAAGTGATTTTTAAAAACTGGAGCATCTTTATCTGCAATATTTATGACTTTTGGGAGGGAGATGTGAATAAATGCCTGTTTGCCCCAGATAGGTCACCAACAACGGAGCAAAGAATTCCATCCAAGTCAAGCTTAGTGAACCGGTGAAACCATGCCCACATACTAACCCTAATACCCCTTCCATCTCCCACTCTGTGAGGGTAGGTGAGAGTTTGAGTGAGTTCCTGAAAGTTCCATCTTGGGTCATAGAGATAAATCTTATGCAAAGATTACTGATTGCCAGGCTCGTGTTTTTATTTCCATTATGCTACTGAAAATGATGGGAATATTGTTGAAGTGGAATTTTGATGAGCAAGAAAAAGAGAATCAAAACATAAACCTCTGAAACACCAGTACATTCTCTTCCCCTTGTTCATAAAAATTAGAAAGTCTAGCTATAGCAATTGTCACTGAGGATATAGAGCTATGGGAACTTCCATAGCTTTAGGGCACATATAAAGTAGACCATCAGTTCAGAGAGCAATTTAACAGAGCCCTGCAAAGTTCAAGATGCATACGCCCTAGGCTATGACACACAGAAATCTTTGAAATGTGTCCAGTATATTTATTGCAGTACCTTTGTAGTTACAGTCATATCTAGATGCATGAGACCTGAGCTTTCTTAATTTGGGGTATTCTGTTTAAGAAAAAAAATACAGGGACTGGAGAGATGGCTCAGCAATTAAGAACACTTGTTCTTCCAGAGGACCCAAATTTGATTCCCAGCACCCACATGGCAGCTAACAACTGTCTGTAACTCCAGTTCCAGGGGCTCCAACACCTTCTTCTGGCTTCTGCAGGCATTGCATGCACATGGTGCACTTACATACATGCAGGCAAAACATATACACAAAATAAAAATAAGAAAATATTTTTTAAAAAGGAAAAGAATGCAGCATTACAAACATAAGTAAAAGCTGATTCAGAACAAAAGAAGCTGCAGGCATCATGCACATGGTGCACTTACATACATGCAGGCAAAACATATACACAAAATAAAAATAAGAAAATATTTTTTAAAAAGGAAAAGAATGCAGCATTACAAACATAAGTAAAAGCTGATTCAGAACAAAAGAAGCAATTACAAGAAGTTTCTGGTGTGAGTTAGGCTGAAATCTGTCATGTAGACCCATATTAAAAACTTTCCCCAAGCTCAGGAAAAATGCTAACATCATTCACTGCATAGACCTGAATTATGAGAGTGACAACGGCATTTCACTTCTGTTCCTCACTCCAGGCCACTCCAGGAAACTTCACGGGTTAGATGTGCTGTAGATGGCAAGTCTCTCTGTTGTGGGGGAAAATCTATGGGTGTTTAATCACTAGACTAACAAAATGAGCAAGAGCCTGAACTGGAATAAGACTGTCAGAATGACTTGTTACAGGTTGTGAGTGCTCTCTGAGCTTCAGTTCTTTCTAACTCTGGGGAGGGGGAGGGCTATTGCAATGACCAAGTTAATGCCTGAAGAGTTCTTGGCACACATACACTAGCATTCTATAACACTCTACCCATTGCTGTGACTGGCATGGTAAGATACTCATTTTAGAAACGTCACCCTGACTACTATCTGGAAAATGACTTATCATAGTTAGCTTTAGCTGTCAACATGAAACAAACCTAGAGTCACTTTGGAAGAGGGAATTGAGACTGAAGAATTATGTAGATCAGATTGGCCTCTAGGCAATTTTGTGAGGGATGCTTTTGATAGCTAATTAATGTAGGCAGGCCAGTCCATTGTGGTTGGTGCCATCCCGAGGCAGGTAGACCTGAGTTGTATAAGAAAGGTAGCTGAGCAAGTTAGCCAGCAAGTCGGTAAGCAGTGTTCCTCCATGGTCTCTGCTTCAAGCTCCTGCCCTGAATTCCTGCCTGGGCTTCTCTCAATGATGAACTGTTACCTGTTAACTGAAATAAACTCTGTCCTCCCCAAGTTTGTTTTGGTCAGTGCTTTATCACAACAATAGATAACAAACTAGGATGTGATAAATCTTAAAACTAAAGTGAAAATCTAAACACTGAAAACAAAGTAAAAAGAAGATGGTATGATTTGATATAGTAAAAGACAGAGTGGTTTGAACTCAGTGCCAGAGGCATGAATGCTAGCATCAACTTTCAATATACATTTTTATTTTTATTTTATGCATATGAGTGTTTTGACTGCATGTATTTAAGTGCACCCATGTGTGCAATGCCTATGGAGGCCAGAAGAGGGCATTGGATTTCTTGGAACTGGAGTTAAGGACAAGTTGTTAGCCACCATGTGAATGCTGGGAACCAAACTCAGGTCCTCCTGAAGAGCAGCCAGGGCTCTTAACTGCTTAGTTATCTCTCCAGCTCTCCAGCCCCCTCAATATATATTCTAGATTAAACATTGCTAACTTTCCATTTTACCCACTTTTTTACTGAGCAGTGGTCCCCTGCTTAGATTTTTTTTTTTCTTATTAACCCTTTGGCTTAAGCAGAAAAAGATAGGATTCCCACTCTCAGAGATCAGACTATAGTTCTTAAAATGCATGTTATCCACAGTGTAGAGAAAAGAAAGAAAAGTGAGAGAGAAAAATGGCCTAAGGAGAAAGTGAGCCAGTTGGTTGCTGCCTTTGATCCCTTGGACAGGGTAGATACAGTCAAAGATAAGGTTTGCACTGGGACATACCATCATTGTGGGGAACATAGATAGGTCCCCAAATTTTGCAAGCAATTCAGCAGACACATACTCTTTTTTTATTAATTTTTAATTAAAAAATACTTTATTAGCCAGGCATGGTGGCACATGCCTTTAATCCCAGCACTTGGGAGGCAGAGGCAGAGAGATCTCTATGAGTTCAAGGCCAGCCTGGTCTACATAGTGAGTTCCAGGACAGCTAGGGCTACACAGACAGACCATGTCTCAAAAAGACAAAAAAATACTTTATTATTTTTATTTCATGTGTATGAGTGTATTACTTGCATGCATATGAGTGCACCTATGTCATGCAAAGCCTGTGGAGATCAGAAGAAGGTGTCAAATTCCCTGGAACTGGAGCCTTGGACGGTTGTTAGCTGTCATGTGAGTGCTTGGATTTGAACCTGGGTCCTCTGCAAGAGCAGTCAGTGCTCTTAACTGCTGTGCCATCTCTCCAGCCCCTGCAGAACCCCCCCCCCCCTTTTTAAGGCACATGCCACATAATTCTGAAGGCTACCAGTTTCCTTTTTTTTTTTTTTTCCTTTCTTAATGTTCTAGAAGCATCTAATAGTACTTTTACTGGAGATTATTTCCAGTCTATCCTGAGAACAATTCTATAATTCATTCAGCACATTTTCTTCCTGGCAACTTTTCCTGACCACTTTCTTGCAGGAAATGTTATTACATTCTCAGCTGACCAAATTCTAACCCTCCTCAAAAACAGCTTGTCTTTTTCTTTTTCTAGACTATCACTTAAACATCTTGTAAAAGAAAGTTCCCAGAAAGAACTCCTGCATCTTGGACTGAACTTCCTGAAAGGCTGACCAACTGATTAGCACTCCAGAGATTGTGGAGCAGATCCAGAGCCTGTTCACAAATCATCTGGGGACATCTTTAGCCCCATAAATAGCCATACCTTGCCTACCTCTGTTTCTGAATTAACATTCTTGTGACTAATAAAATATATTAACTTAGCAGACCACCAGGTCTCATCAATCAAAAGCTAAGAACGTCATCAGATAGCATCTGAGACCTATAGTATAAACCAGCCCCCTGCTTTGCTGTGACCTGCCTACTGAATGTACCCACCAATATATTTGAAAAGTGTCTTGATTTGTGACAGAATCATAGGGTTTTTTTCTCCCTTGAGACACTGTATAGCCAGATAGTTTAATGCATAGAGTCAAAACTTCTGGTTTTAACCTGACACTTGCTTTGTTAAGCTGGTCACTGTAGGCCTGTGCCTGCTAGCATATCTGTAAAATGGGTATATAGTGGTGGAAAGTTTAATTAGCCTTTATCTGCAACTTTTATTGTTTAGCTAGATAGAAACATTATCATGGATTTCCATGAGTTAAGGAAAAAATAATTTTGTATAAAGTTAATTGTAGCTGAATACATGAAAAAGTCATTGTGTTTGGGTCAAACAAATGCAGATAACTGTGTTCGATAGAAGGGAGAGACTCGAAGATTCCAGCAGGAAACGCTCCAGTGTCTCCAGCATCTTCTTCCGCTGTGCCTTCTCAGACTCCCACATCCCAGCTCTCTTCTGTTCTTCATTACTCACCTGTCAGACACGAACCTTCTCAGAAAGCAACCACTGGCATCCCAGCTTAGGCTCTGTCGGGCACCTGATCACCCTTTCCTGCAATGGTGTGTCACAGAAACGGTGTGTTCTGATGTCTGATACCAACAGTGACCTCAGAGGGACCGCATCTTTCCTGTGCTTCTCCATGCTCAGAACTCAAGAACTCAAAACATGCTCAAGTCACTTCTCGAACTAAAAGACTCTGGCCCCCCTCTGCAACGTCACTCCTTGCCTCTCAGTGCTCCTCAATCTCCCCGGAAGCTTTATAAAGGAACACTTAACTAGTCACTCCAAGGCTGCTCCCTAGGTTCCTCTGCACAATCCACCGAAACCACGTGCGGTCATAGCCCCGCCCACTTGGGCTCGTGGCCCCGCCCCACCGGCCTGGGCTTCCCACCCTGCCTCCTGCCAGGCCTGCCGACCGGTCTCCAGAACGCAACTACGCATGCGTAAGCGGATGTCAGCTCGTTGGCGCGGTGACGCAGGTCGGCCGCGGCGTGCTTTTTCTCTGGGAGCGTGGTCTCGGGTGTCCGCGAAGTGGGAGCGGGAGGAGCAGGGGCAGTTCAGAGGGCGCGGCGCGGGCGTGCAGGAGGCCCCGCGCGGGCTGCGAACCCGGACCCCCGGGATGCTCGGAGCCCGTCGCCTACTCGGCGCGCTGCGCTTCTGCTCCTCCGTTCCCTGCCCCAAGCCACGCACGTCCGCCAAACTGCGCGTGCGGGAAGCGCTCGGGGTCCTGGACGCTAGTGGGGAGCGCGTGACGGTGCAGGTGGGTGTGCGGAAAGGGACCTTTGGGGACTGGTACGGCCGGTCTACCTATCGCTGTACTCTGCGCTGTCCAAAGTTGGAAATACGAGTTCCATGTATATCCAACGTTTTGACGTTGCAACACCTACAAAGTTCATACTTGAGGTCCGCGCAACCGAGTTACAAAAAGAAATCGCAAAAGAGGAGAGAGAGAGACAGAAAGAGACAGAGAGAGCTAGCGAGATCATGTTCCAAGTAACTTTACGATTTTGTGTTTGGCCGCATTCGTAATTAGTAGATCGCTGCTGCATGCGACCCAGAGACTGCAGATTGAACACACACAAGAACCCAGCCGTGTCAACATTTAACCACCTTGGTTCCTAAGATGAGATTTGCGTGTAATTAATAAATTAGAAGAAAGAGCAGAATATTGTAGTTTGACAGACTTCAGGGCAGTAGCTTGTTAATTATGAGCATGTCGCCTAAGTGCTCCAAGCCTCATTTCCTCTTTCAGACATGAAGATAATAGTAGTCTGTATTTCAGAGTCCTGAAAATTAGATGAGATAAAGGGTACAGGATATTCAGAGCAGAGGCCCTTGGTCAGTAAATGTTAGCTGCTGTTATTTCCCCTGATAGTATTTGCAGCAGCTCTACATACATCTTGTTTTTTTAATTGAATTTTTTGTGTATTTCATACAGAACATCTCAAACAATCTTAATCATCTTTATACCCCTGTTCCACTGGCACCCTCCCAATAGCTCTCTCCCTGACCCTCCACTGGAGCCCATATATTCTGTTACCACCCACTGTGTCTTCAGTATCCCCAGCCTGTCCAGTGCAAGTTCATCCACTGAGGACTAGTCAGCCTACCTAGAGTCCCTTGTTTTAGGAAGATCAGCTCTTCTTCCTCTAGCAGCAATCAGTTGCCAACATTCCTTCAGATTAGATTGAGGTCTGCTGTTCATTTTCCCAGTTCTGTGCTGTGTTATTGTCTGCCTGAGTTTGCATAGGACTTGTGTAAGCTCTGCATGCATCTTTAAGGGATCACATTAAAGCATGGTGGCCGACTTTCCTTGAATTGCTGCAACACACTGATGCAGTTGATGCCTCATAGATATTGCTATTTAGCAGTGTGAGGAAGCTGCTCTTTCCATTTCGTTTTCATGTTCTTTCCATGATCCAAAATCAAAACTGTCAAAACCATTTCTTGGGGCTGGAGAGATGGCTCAGCAGTTAAGAGCACTGGCTGCTCTTGGAGAGGACCTGGGTTTGGTTCCCTGTACTCATGACTGCTAACAACTGTCCGTAACTCCGGTTCCAGGGGATCTTATGCTCTCTTCTGGCCTCCGTGGGCATTGCACTCACAGGTGCATTTAAATATATGCAGACAAAACACATAAAAATAGAGAAATTTTGAAAAACCCATGGCTTGCACTCATTGATTAATTCAACACATGTTAATGATCTTTTGTCTACTGATGAAGATTCAGAGATGAACAGAACCTACTGCCCAAGTAACAGGCTTTCCTTCACATTAGTGCTCTTCAGTGTAATACAGAAACTCAACTACTTTAGGCTCTGAGCACTTGAAATGTGGCTGCATGGAGAAGTGTGGTAAATGTAAAATATGTAATAATTTTGAAGAGCCAGAAATATATCTGAATATACTTATATTGATTACATGTGAATAGTATTTTGGGCATAATTGGTTGAATCAAATGTATTACTGTTTTTAATTATTTATTTATTTTATTTTATGTTTATGAGTGTTTTGCCTGCATGTATGTAAGTGCACCAGTGTCGTGGAATGCCTGGTCAGAAGAGGGCATCATGTCTCCTGGAACTGGAGTTAAGGATGGTTGTTAGCACCCATGCAGATGCTGGGAAACGATCCTGGGTCCTCTGCCAGTGCTCTTTTGCTGAGCCATCCCTCCAGCCTCTAAAATGTTTTTAAGGATTTATTTTTATTTATGTGTATTTGTGTATGTCTGAGAGTTTGTGTGTCCATGGAGGCCAGAAGAGGAGCTAGAGTTACAGGCAGTTGCAAACCTCCTGATGAGTGCTGGGAACAGAATTCCAGTCCTTTGGAAGAGCAGCAAGGGCCCTTTAACTGCTGAGAAATCTCCAGCCCCAATTTTTTTTTTTTTTTTTGGCCTTTTTGAGACAGGGTCTCCCTCTAGCCCCAGCTGTCCTGGAACTCACTATGTAGACCAGGCTGGCCTTGAACTCACAGAGATCTGCCTGCCTCTGCCTCCCGAGTGCTGGGATTAAAGGCGTGCACCACCACGTCCAGCAATTTTTTTTAAACTTACATAATTAATATTTCTGTTAGCCTAGTATACAGCAACGTGATTCTTATTAGTGGGAATTCTTGAACTGTGAGGAGGTCAAGAAGACTTCCTGCATAGGTGACATTTCAGCTGTCCTGGAGGGGGTTGGTACCTCAGGTGGAGTAACTGATGGAGTGGAGGGTAGCGTGGATGTGACCCCAGTCAGAGGAACTGGGGGTGGAGACGAAATAGCATTCTAGAAAAGCTTGTTGATAACAGGAGCTCTGGAATAATAACTGTTTTTGAATTTTAAATGTATTACTTGATGCTATAACCTGGATTGTTTCTTAAAACTTTTCTGAATATTTCATTTCAAAAATGAGAATAACCACTTCAGCTCTCACGAGGGTTTAATAACCCAATATTTAAAAGAACTTAATGCACATTAGAAAGTGGTCAGTAAATGTTAACTTTCTAGCAAGAAAAATAAAAGTGGTGCTTTGGAAATTACTCTTGAGCACGAACAAAAGTAGGTACATTTGGGGAATGTGGTGAGATGAAGCGCCTTGTGCAGGAGGTTGAAGACTTCATTGCATACTGTGTAGCCTTGGCAAAAGATGAAGCACTTTCTAGTCAGGTAGACTTTGTTTCAGAGCAGTGTGACTTTTAGTCAGTAAGAAGGAAATGAGGGCTGGAGAGATGACTCAGCGGTTAAGAGCACTGACTGCTCTTGCAGAGGACCTGGGTTCAATTCCCAGTACCCACATGGCAGCTATGAACCGTCCTTATCTCCAGTTCCAGGGGAATCCGAAGCCCTCTTCTGACCTCCACAGCATTGCACTACACAGGTGCCCTCAGACACATGCAGGCAATACACTCGTACACATAAAATTAAAAAATAAAATATTTTAAAAAAAGAAGGAAATAGTACATGAAGGCAGCAGAACTTTTTTCTTACATATTCTACATAATATCCTTTCACTTTAAAACATTTGCTTATAGAGATTGCTGAGTGGTTAAGAGCACTTGCTGCTCTTCCATAGAACCTGAGTTTGGCTCCCACCACCTGTAGGATGCTTATACCTTCCTGTAACTCCAGTTCTAGGGGATCTGACTCCCTCTTCTGGTTTATATGAGTACTTGCTCACATGTGGTATCACACACAAACACACCCATAAATAAGAATAAATCTTTAAAAAACAAAAAACAAAAAACTAGAGATGATGGTGCACGCCTTTAATTCCAGCACTCAGGAGACAGAGGCATGTCTATGAGTTCAAGATTACCCTGGCCTACATAGCAAGTTCCAGGCCAGCCAGGGATACACAGACTCTGTCTCAAAAAGCAAAAAAACAAACAAAAATGGATTCTCATCTGTTTATCTGGCAATACACTTCAAAACAAGTTAGCATTTTTCTTTCCCTTCAAAAATTATGAACATACAAATAGGCCATTGCTGGGACACAGAGAAGATAATAATAGGTTTTTTGTTTGTTTGTTATAGCATCATCTCTTACTTTCCCCAAGAATGTTTAGTGGTGAATGTCTGTCTGTATCCATTTCTTCACAACACATTTTCTAATGTCTGCCAGAAGAATATTATTCTCTGTTAACTCCTATGCTAGCTAACTTCAAGTTCAGTATGTAACTGTTGTTAGTGTTACTGGTGCACTTGAATCCTCTCATTTGTACTGTCTTGCTCCTATCATTTAAGTTAAGACAGTCTTTGAAATGTGTATCTGACTATATGTTTATAACGAAAATTTTCTTTTTATTGTGTATTTTAATTTATTTGGTCTTTAGAATTTCTGTTCTTGCTGCTGAGTGGATGACACTTGCTCTTTACTGTAGCAAAAGCTCACATTTGGAAAATGTTTCAGAGGTTTTTCAGAGTAATATTTCCAAATTCTTAATTTACTGGTTAGCACACAAAGAAATGGGGTTCTTTGTGTCATTTCATGTGTGTGTTTCATTGTACTTTTTTTTGGAGACAGTCTTGCTAGGTAGCCCAAGTTGCCCTCAAATTTCAGTTATTTCAACATCCTGCCCGCCTTAGTCTCCTAACTGCAAGGATTACAGGTGCACACTATGACACTCAACTTTATGAGATACTTTTTTAAGACTTTTCTTTTTTTTGGTATGGTATTTTGTCAAAGGAACAAAATCCCATAAAGATATTCCTAGTCTTTATTCCATTATCTCTCTTGGGAATTTGACATCAGGAGAAAAGCATCAAGTTGTAAACCTTTTGTTTGCAATTGGGGAAAAAGGAATAGCTTGTAACAGCCAATATGGAGGGGTAGGTTTATCAGCTTGATGAAATACTTGGCATCCATTTAAATTGATGGACTTTATTAACAAAACAGAAGAAGAGGTGGAACACTAAAGTGGGCATCTCACTGTGATTAAGAATCATATAGACTTACGTGCACACCCAGGTAAACCAAAAGCAGCTCATTTTACACAGTTGACACGTTGAGCCAAGTCTGAATGCATTCTTTCTTTCATTTAGTCTTTTTTGAATGAATAATGAAAATGTAAAATGTTTTTTAAGCTCCCATTTTAAAATGTTTCTTTCTAGGGATGGATTCGTTCAGTCCGGTCCCAGAAGGAAGTTTTGTTTCTGCATGTAAACGATGGATCGTCTTTGGAAAGCCTTCAGGTTGTTGCTGATTCGAGCTTAGACAGTAGGTGAGTTTTTTGTTTTTTTCTTTTTCTTTTGTTTAAGAGTCCTTTGATCCTCGCCCCCTCCCCCACTTTCACTGTTCTCAGCCTCCCAGATCCAGTGTTCACTTTGCCACCAGAATGATCTTTCTAAACACATCTGTGAATGATAGCTTTGAAGATAAGTCTACATACTTGGAACTAAGGTTCTTCAAGCTCTGACATCTTCACATGCCAATATCCCTGCCCGTGCTTTGCTTCTTCTGTTTGTCCTGGGATTGAAGGGGTCCACCACCAAGCCCTGCTGCTTCTGTCTTCTGTCTACTTGCCTCCCCCGCTTGCAAACTGACTGTCTTCTAGCTCTTGTACAGGTTGTTCCCTCTGCTTGATATGGTGTCTTTTTGCCTTTACCTGTCTTATAATTCTGGTTTGGGCATCATCTGATGTTTCTATCCCATGACTGTGGCAGGTCTCTCTGCCCCCATAGTATCCTGTGTTCACCTGTCATAGAATGGATAATATTGTTTGGTAATCAGTTGTATTCTTCTTGGATTCCTTTGACTAAGGACTTTGAGTTCATTGAGAAATGGCATCTTCTTCATTTTTCTATTCTTAGCTTCTGTGCAAGAGTGTGTTGAGTTGTTTATTTGTTGAGTAAATGGAAGAAACTTTTATGGTCTCATTTATCAAATGTTAAAGTGAACACCATTTTGTGTTAAGGTGTCACCTCTGAGGGTAGAATATTTTGATTTGTTAAAATAAGAGCATTTTGCTATCCCAGGACTATTAGGATAAATGCTGTCTATTTATTGTAAAGGCTTGTGGGTCTCAACTGGGCAGAGCAACAACAACAACAAAAAAGCTGTTCTGCTTTTTTAAAAGTAATA